ATTAAAATGGAAGTGGAAAAGCCCGAGCTGTGCTGGGTCAGGTGCAGAAGATGCAAATAAGCTGCCCAGAGAGGGCTGCTGACCTCCATTTCACATCCCGCTTCTGCCCCAACACCTCTGCTTCAGCTCATTCCTATGGCTCACGGGGAGTCCCTGTCACCAGCTGAAAGAGGAGGGAAAAGCCCCAGTTTGGTTGACCAATGACTATAATATATGATATCTGGAGGCAAATGAAAACTAGAAAGCTATTTCTGCACACACCTGGTCAAAGAAAGATTGGGGTGAAGAGAAGTCCCCCAGGGGCAGTGCTCTGAGCAGTGCAGCTGCTCTGCCACTTTCTTTTGTGGGAGAAGTGGTCGGATATAGACATATACACCAACTCATAGGCAGTTTCAGTTGGCTTAGCTTGTTGGCCAATGGTCTGGACACACTAAGACCAGAATATTGTGGATAAGGAAGTCTGAGGAAGAAGCATGTGGATGTGATCTGGCCCAGTTTCCCTTTATTGGGCCAAGGGAGGCACCTCCACCTGTTTTAGTGTTGGCAGGTAAAAGCTCACGGTTGCCTCCTTTGTCAGAGAATTGTCTTGTGCCAAAAGGTTGCTCCTTCATCCAGAAGGTTCCATGCCCCCTGCCCCCTCTGGGGAAGCCTAAAATGAATGACTAATTCACATGGAAGCAAGTCAGTAGGCCCCCTTTGATGTGGATCAAGGCTGCCCAAGGTAGAGAAGCCCAAGGTGTCCTGGCCTACCTGCCAATCTATATGACCTGATGGATTTTATGGTGTGGATTAGGGCTGCCCCAGAGAGAGAAGCCCAGGACATCCTGGGCTACATGCCGATCTATATGACCCAATACATATCTAAAGTTATACTACCACGCAATAACCAGACCCCACCTGCACTGATACCATTTAATGACTTGTTACATCATCTTTCCTTTGTCTAGTAAAAATAAGTCAAGTACCCATGCCTTATAAATTTAGCCCTAACCCTCAACACATTGCAGCTCTTTACTCCCCATGGGTCCTGTCCCTGTGCTACTCCATGCTATTCTCTGAATAAAAGAGCACTACTGCCAGACCTTGAGTCCAAGAAATCTTTCATTCGACTCCTTGACTCACCGAGCCCACATCACCATGACTAAAGGAGGGAGCAAATATGGAGTGCAGATTATGCTCCGGAGCTCCTGTGGGCACACAGTGCCAGAGGAGTCCACCTGAGAGTGTGTCCGTGTGTAGTTTGTTGCTCTGCCTTGTCCTGCTTCTCTCATTCCATTTCTCTTGAGAGCACTTGTTCCATAAATCACATATACACCAATACTTACCTGGGGCTCTGATTCTTATCTTAGAGAAAGAGCAAATAGAGCACGACACCAAGAACCCTGGTGTGGGCAGCTGTAAGACTGCTTTATTACAAGGACAAAGACTAGGAGAAGAACAGAAAGGGAATGGAGTAGAAGTCAGAACTTAGGTTTGGTACATGTTATGTTTTAGTCGCATTTGGATGGCCAAGTAGTCTGACACATGGATCTAGAGTCTAGAAGAAATGTTTGGGCTAGAGAAATAAAACGGGAAGTTATTGGCATGTAAACGGTAGTTAGAGACAATCTCCTTGCAAAAAGTGTATGTAGAGAAAGGAATTTCATTCTGTACAAGTTAAAAGTTAGGGAGAGGAAAGGTTTTAAAAAGTTTGAGATGGAGCCGCTAGAGGTAGGAAGAAAACCAAAAGAACGTGTTGCCCTGCAAGCCAAGTGAGGAACAGCGTGTGAAAGGGGACGTTTGTCACACTGTCATGCCGCTGACATGTAAGGTAAGCATGATGAGTACAGAATAACGGTCCCTGACTTTTGCAGTTTAGAGGGTTTTGATGACCTTGAGACAGAGATTTCGGTGAAGTGATGGGGATAGAAATGAGATTGGAGTGGGTTGAAGTATGTATGAGGGGTGAGCATGAAGGAATCATGTTTGTTGACAGCTCTGTTGGCAAGTTTGGTTGTGAAGAGAGGCAGAGGAAAAGGACTATAGCTGGGATGATTTGTGTGGTCAAGTGAGGCAATGTTTTAGGAGTGGAAATACTACATTATTAATAACTAATAGCCGTAGATTTCTTACTATGTGCTTGACAAGTGATAACATCTAATCCTCACAACAACACTATAAGATTCACTGTATTATTATCCCAATTTATGAGTGAGAGAATTTAGATAATTAGTGAATGGTGGATCTAGGATCTGAAGCTGGGCCGCCTGACTCCTGAACCCTAATCATTATGATATACTCAAATATTAGAGAATGTTTGTATATTGATGGAGGTGACTTCCGTCAGTAGGAGAGAGGGAGAAATTGATGATGGAAGAAATATATGGATGAATAAAAGGTGATGAGAAATTTAGGAGACAAGCTCCAGAATATTTCTTAAAGAGAGTGTTATAACAGAATGAAGGACCTATTCCCAGTTTTAATAAGAGTGACAAAGAAGATAGGTGCATATATGTAAGTAGGTTATAGTTTTGGTGATGGGGAGATGAGATTCTGATGAATTCTATTTTCTCAGATCATAAACGGAGATTGAAGGTCAGAGGAGAATGGAGTTTTCATGAAAATGAGAGGATGCAAGAAAAGGTTTTAATTAGCCATCTCAAAGGATGGGAAATATAGCAGGCAATCAGGCATTCCAAATAGTATTAAGAATGAATTTGAAGTTTGTGATCATGAATTTAGAATGAAACCGTTATATCTGACCATGCCCTTTTCTCCCACTATATGGAACTACTGACATAGAGAAGGTTGATGGTTGACTTTTCAGAGTTGGGATGTTGACAAGCTATTCCTATGGAGAGAGAGATGGGCAAGAGAATTGTGAGTGCATGGATTGGTTATATCAAACGGCCTTAGACTCTGTTCTGGACAAGAACGGAAGTGAAGACATGAGGCAGTGGATGCACAGTGGAAAAAAAATGATGGGATCAATGGGCTAGAGGTTAGGCTGAATTAAAGAATGGCCTAATAGCGGAATCTGAGCAAGTAAACATGATACAGGTTGTGATCAGACAATGAGAAATTGGATTCAAAGATTTTTAATGGAAGCAGTTTGGAATTAGGGTCCAGAAATGTTGCCATGAGAGTGAAGGCCTGAGGTGAGATGTAAGAGGAAAAGTACAATGAATCTTAGAAGGACTGGAAAGTGAGAGGACACAGCTGAGGTGAAGCAAAAGACCCAGGGTGCTAAGAGTCTCTTTCAGGCTCACTTTTATGCTGCCTCATGCTGATGGAAGGAGCAATATTCTAGAAGCTACCATACCACCAACTTGATGGGAACCTCACACCTCGAATCCTGGAATCTATAGCCAACCCTCTTCTCTGTTATCAGTATGAATCCCATTACAACTCCAACCACGTTTACTTCAGGTAAGAGGAAGACATCATCTTTCCTTTCCATGCGTCACTGGCAGTCCCAATTTCTCCTCTGGAAATCAAAGTGGGATCGGCTATTTACTAACCCTCTCCTAGGACCATTCTCTTTATTTTGCACAGCAAAATTTGGAGTTACTAATTATTACAGAAAACTGAGATTTAGAGAAATTTAAGTAACTTCCTCTTTTACTTTCTCTTGTCTTACAGATGTTCTATTTCCAAAAACACTTGCAAACCACTAATCTAGAAAGTATGGTTTCTGTAAAAAGAAAAATGCTGCATAGATTAAATTCAAGAATGATCATGTTGGTAGACTGTGGTCCATGATATTCTAGTGTTACTAATATTTTTGTTATTAATATTGCTAGTATCTAGTAATACTTGTATGGTGATAATCAGATTGATGGTCTAAGGTTTATATTCGTCATGGTTGCCGTTATTCTTATTTTTAATAATACCAGTGTAAAACATAGTTGCGATTCTCAGGCATTTCTTCCGTTGAGAAGTGGAGGTCTGTGTTTATTCTTGAATCTGAAGGCTGTTTGACTCATTTATAACCAATAGAATGCAGCAGCAATGACACTGTGGCTTCTGAGGTTATATTGATGTATTTGTTTTCAATTGCTGCTGGAACAAATTACCGCAAACTTGGGGGCTTAAAACAACACAGATTTATTATCTTTCAGTTCAGAAGGTCAGAAATCCAAAAGCAATTTGACTGGGCTGAGGTCAGCATTCTCTCGGGAGGTTCTAGGGCAGAATCTGTTTCTTTACCTTTCTTAGCTTCTAGAGTCACCTATATTTCTTAGCTCATGCTCTCTTTTTCCATCTTCAAAGCACATTACTCCAACCTCTGCTTCTGTCATCCCAACCCCTTCTTCCACCTTTGACCTCTTGCCTGCTTCATAAGGACCTTTGTGATGACATTTAGTACCCACCTAGATAGTGCAGCGTACTCTCCCCATCTCAAGATCCTTAACGAATCACATCTGCAAATTTCCTTTTCCATGTTAAGGTAGTGTAGTCACAGGCATTGGGGATTAGGATGTGGACATCTCCCTGGGGCCATTATTCAGCCTACCAGAGTTGGAAAAGTCGTGGAGATTCCACAAGGTTTTCCTGATACTCTTATCTAAGAAATGAAAGGTCACCTGGGGGTTCTCCAGACAACACAGGCTGAGCTCTGAGCTGACGGCCAGTAGGAACATCCGCTATGTGAGGAAGCCATCTTGGGTCAGGTCTAGCCCAGTTAAGCTTTCAGATAACTACATCCCCTGCCAACATCTGACTGCCATTGCTTGCTCTTAGGAGGATTAAATGAGTTAATGCAAGTGATGTTCTTTGAACATTATGTGACTTGTGGGACAAGCTCATGAAAGTTCACCCAGCTTCTGCACAGTTCTCCTTGGATTCTCACTCCTGGAACTCTACTGCCATATTGTAAAGAAGCCCAAAGTGAGCCACATGGAGAGACTACATGAGGAGGTCATGAGCAAGTGTTTTGGCTGACAGTCCAGCTGGAATCCCAGCTGAAAGTTAATGTTAACCGCTCAACATGGGAGTGAAGACACTTCCACAAGATTCCAGCCATCGAGTCACCCTCAACCTTCAACTCTTCCCGGCTAAGCCCTAGATATCATGGAGCAGAGACAAACCCAATGTGTCCTCTCTAAATTGCTGTTCCACACAATCCATCAACCACTAAGTTTGGAGATGTTTTTTGCATAGCAATAGTTATTATCAAGTGGAAAATAAACTCAGAAAGGCAAACCAAAGCATTTTTTTTTTCAACCAGCTATTTCCCAACCCACATAAGAAAATAAGTAAAAGCCACAGGGAAATGAAATAATACATTATTGAATATCTGTTTAAATGCAATGCCCCGTTCATTTTGCCATAGAATGCTACCATATGGAATATTTACGGCATTAAATATTGAGTACTGCAAAAGTTGTAGGTGTAGACAAATACTTTGCACTTAATATTATTAAAATTGCAGATGTAGGTAAATACTTTGAAGTTAATATTTTATGGTCACTGCTTATACACAAGAACGATCCTATCAGCTAGTTTTATAGCAGTCAGTCTGAACATAATGGGAACATACGACTTATTTGCTTCTCTTTCTCCAGTCTCTTTCATATAGACAAGACTCACATTTATCTCAAATGGAAGTTACATTCCTTATTAACACTGCTATTGAAATTTTAAATATTAAGACTGGTTAGAGGTAGAACAGAGTCAGTTTTAAAATTTTCTCTTTCCTTTTGAAGCACATACCCTCTAAAACTTGTTTCTCATAGTATCATCTTAGTTTGAAAAGAAACTTTTTAAAGTTTCCTTTTGAACTTTGGAAGGGAGAACAAAGGAACCAGTGATCTGTTGTTGATGGTTTCTTCTTTTGGATCCCTCAGGTCACTTCTAAAAATCTCCAAGTGGCTTCACAAACACGTCCTATTATTAGCACATGCTAATGTTAAGTTGATACCAGTAGCATTAATATATCAAAAATATTATAGAATAGATAATAACATTTGCTGCAAGGACTATCTTCTTTCAGCCTTAGGAAAAAAATGATAGTGAAAACAATAACACACACTGGCATGAATAATGTTAGGATTAAATCGTGATATGTTGGGACATAGTTGTGAAGTATATGCTGAGTCTGTCATTATTATTCTTATGATTTAATTATTGTGCATGTATGTCGTATTTTGTGCCCCCTCGTATGAATAAGGACAATTAAATGTCATTTCTTATGTCATATTGTTCATTATGTTTTTATGTGTTTAAAAACCACACTGAGCATAGGTACAAGACTAATATAGGAAATCCAAGTCAGAAAATGAGTAAAAAGATATTGTCAGCAAAGAAATCAAATATTGCCTCAATATTTTATACGTACGTAAATATTTTATTTTCCCATCACTCCCTAAGCCACAATAACATATTACACTTTTTCAATGTTTTAAACAAATTTTAAACAAATTCACTCTTACTAGTGATGAATAGAGAACCACCGCTGAAGAAACACCAACAACGTTGTCTTCGTTGCTGGAGACGCAGGTACTGAGACATCACCAAATGGTGACAAAAATGTGCATAGAAGATATCCGAACATTCTGGACGTAGTCCTTCTATTGGCTAAATGTAATGCTAATGCTTCTTGTTAGAAAAGAAGAGAAAAATGTAGTCCCAAGAAATAATGTGCTGAAATATTTTTAGTGGCTACCAGATAATAGTAAGCTGACTTCCCATTTATGAAGAAAGTGTATTAAATTAGAAATTAGCCATCAGATTATTTTATACATAGGCATATGTATATACATGTGTATACACACACACGAATGCATATATTATGTACTTATACTATTGTCTTTGCTTGATCTGCTATACTAAAATACCGTAGACTGGGTGGATTAAAAAACAGACATTTATTTCTCAGAGTTCTAGAGACTGGAAGGATCAGGGGGCCGGTACGGTTAAGTTTGGTGAGAACCCTCTTCCCGGCTTGCAGACAACCCCCTTCCAGCTGTATCCTCACATGGTGGAGAGAGAGAGAGAGCTGTGGTTTCTTCATGTTCTTATAAGGACTCTAATCCCATTGTAGGGTCCCCACCCTCGTGACCTCATCTAAACCTTATTAACTCCCAAAGGCCCCACTTCCAAACACCATCACACTGAAGGTTAAGGCTTCAACATATGAAATTTGGAGGCACACAAACATTCAGCCCATCACAACTATATATGATCTTTTTTTTGAAATTGATTAATAGTTGATCCTTCCATTTCTTCATCTGTGTTAATTGACATGCCCCGTATCTATTTTGAGCTAGGTGTCAGCCCAGAACTCTGGCGCTTCTGTTATAGAAAATAGAGAATGAAGAGCAAACTATTTCTACAGGATTAAAGCCGTGATCAGGATAGGAATTGGGAGCGATTATGTCATTTTTTATGTTTTGGTTTTAAGCTGTTTTTAAATACTGAAGGTTATGTAATCTCTTCTATCGTGGAGGTAGCACTGTACTTCTACTGTTTTCGGAGACCACAGAGGGGAGCATATTACCTAATTATTCACGTGCTGCCTGAAGGTAATATTAGAGCTGGCTGAAGGTAAAAACCTTTTGGCTTGGGATTTGGCCCCACTGATGTCTGGCCCTGTTCCTGATCCCCACACAACCGCACACAACCTCTGCTTGTTACCTTTGGGGCAGCGTGTGACTCACCAGCTTTGAGAATCATCTTGTTGCTGAAGGAAATGACAGAGTGGTTGGAAAAATCTGTCAAAGATTCCATGACTTCATTGAAAGGGTCTAGTGCATCTCCTGCAGTCAGGGGATTGAACGCTAAGAGGAGACTGAGTGAGCTGATGGAGGTTTTCCGATTCTGGCTTTCTTTTGATACCAGGCCTTACTCAGCAAACTTTCCAATCCAGTGTCAACATTTCACTCTCCTGTACCCTCTGGTCGTTACCATGGGATCCCATCTGTGAATTCATTATCAACCACAAGTGAGTATCAGAGCTAAACACTGAAAAACTGGACTCATTTCTTTATTAGGGAGCTGCAACTGACCTGTGCTTATTCCTTAACAGCTTTCACAATCAGTTCAAAAAAAGGGACAAGTAACAAGGTGTTCAGCAAAAACCTGTCTTTTAAACATAGATACCCTCATCCTCTCTTCATTATAAGTTTTTAGGGTTCTTTTTTTTTTATTATAAAGCACAAGTTTAAAATGTTTCAGCAGAATTTATAGCCCATCCAATAAAACTTCAAATTATTCAATTAATGATTATAATATAATAATTTTAATGATAATAACAAGTCACATTTAAAGAGCACCTCATATAGATAACTGTGTTGTTAAGAACTTTACATGCAGTCCCTCTGGAATGAAAATTGCAGCACCCTCCGATTCTTGTTTATAAATAGATCTTGTGTGTGTGTGCACTTTTTTTCCTCACTGTGTATCATGTATCTTTAAAAGTACATGAAAACTATGTCTACATTTTGGAAATAATTGTGAAGTGAACACACATATAATTACTACCCAGGACAAGAAAGAGAACATTGCCACTGCCATTGCCTTATTGCATCTCCTCACAGATAAACACCACCTCAAATTTAATGGTGACGGTTCCTTTGCTTTTTTTTTTAAATGATGCATTCCTCTATTAAGCTTAGTTTGTCCATTTTGAACTTTATATTAATAGAATCAGACTGCAAGTTTTCTTTTGCATCTTCTCTTTTCTCAACATCGTGTTTGTGAGATAGATCCATGTTATTGCGTGAAGCTGAAGTTGATTTATTCATTGTAAATAATATTCCATTATATGATATGCCACAGTTTATTATGCATCTGACTGGTGATGAAATTTGGGTTGTTTCTATACAGTATGGGCTCCTGAATACTAATGCTATGAACATTATTGAACATGCATCTTGGGAAACAAACGTGAGTGTCTGGAGCAGTGGTTTTCAAATTTTAGCATCAGAGTCACTCAGAGTACTCATTTGAGCACAATTTGCTTCGTTCTTCCTGCAGAGTTTCTGATTCAGTAGATCTGGGGTGGGGGCCTGAAAATTTGCATTTCTAGCAAGTTCTCCGGTGATATGGATGCTGGTGGTCCTGGAGACCACACTAGAACCTCTGATCTAGGGTGTATAACAAAGACTGGAATTGCTAGGTCAGAGAAGAGAAGTATCTTCAGTCTTATGAAATTATCCCAAACAGTTTTCCAAAGTGGCTAGACCAGTTTCTATTCCACCAGGAGAAAATGTGCAATCTCATTGTGTCCATCTAAGACTGATTCGTCCACCTTCTCATGCTTGCTAATGTCCTGGGTTTGTAATAATATCTTGTGATTTTAATTTCCTTTTTCCTTTTAATGAGGTTGAGTACATTTTAACAAATTTATTGATCACTTTTGTCAAGTGCCTGCTCAGTTCTTTTCCTCAGTTTTCCATTGTGTTGTCTGTCTTTTCCGTATCACTTTGTAGGAATTCTTTATGTATTCCAAATGATAGCTGCATGTATTACAAATCTTCTCCCCCTCCGTGGTTTTTCTTTTTACTCATTATACAATATACCTTAAGAACTTTAAGTTTTACATTTTAATGGCATAATTTTATCAATCTTTTTCATTATGGTTGGTGCTTTTGTATTTTGTTTAAGAAATCTTTCTCTATGCAAAGTTATGAGACTTTTCTCCTATATTATCTTCTGAATCTTTATAGTTTTGCCTGAAATTACCTATAAGTGGTTGCATTTTCTTTTTCTTTTTTTCTTTTCATATAGATAACCAATTACCCATGCACCATTTTTTGAAAACTCAGTTTTTTACTCACAGATCTGCAGTACCAATTCTGTCATCTAACAAGAGTCCATGTGTGTTTAGATTCATTCCTGGGATCTCCCTTCTGTTACTTGGTCATATAGAAAAACACCAGTGGGTTAAAGCAATAAGCATGTATTTCTTTCTCATGAATCTCTGGGTCAGAAGGAAGGTTGCACTAGGGTTAAATAGGCAATTCTGCTGATTTTGGTTGGCCTCTGTCACATGTGTAGGTGTCATTGATATTAGGTTGTTTTGAATGACTTCAAGAGACACAGTAGTCTCAGACTTCTGGAGGTTAGCCCGGGCTTGTTCACAGGGTGGTAGCGTGTCTCTGAGCAGGAATGGAAGTATGCAAAATTTCTTGAGGCCAAGGTCAGAACTGGCACATTGTCCTTTTTACTGCATCCTATTGGACAAAGCAAGTCCCAATCCAGCCCATATTCAAGGAGTGAAGACATAGGCTCTACTCCCTGATGAGAGAATCTTCAAAGTCATGTTGTAAAATGTGAGAATATGTAATAGATTGCAATGGACCTACCAAAACATCTGGTAGAGAAAATTCTATTTGGTTCTTTATTTTCATTAAGGCATTTGAGTTGAATCTGGAAGTATGAATAAGAGTTATCATGCAGAAAAGAGGAGAGAAAGCATTTGAGTAGTTGCAAAGCATTTCCAAAGCACCCAAACGCAATAGGACTTCTCATTTGCAAGGAATAACAGGCAGTTCTATGGATTGGGTCAAGAGTTCAAGGACCCTAGAGGCTAAAAATGAATTTGGAAAGGTAGTTTGGGTCTGATTTTTAAGGGTTTTAATCTTATAAGAAATGAGCAGCCATAAGGTTTTATTTTTAAGGGCTTAATCAAATGACATAATCATATTTATGTTTTAGAAAGTTCTCCAGCAGGAGACAAGATGGTAGATAAGGTGACTAGTTGAATTTTATAGGAATAGATCGAGTGAGAAATAACAGAGGCCTGCACTAAAACAACAGCAGTAGAAAGGGGAGCTGAGGGAGACTCAAGAGGTATGTTGAAGGTGTAATGAATGAGAAATGTCATATGTGGAAGAGAGGGAGAAGAAAGAATCCATGATACATGTTAACTTTTCTTGTTCAGATGCTGTTAATGGCAAAGCTTTTCACCAAGATAGGGAACAAAAGTGGAGAAAAATTGGGGGAGGGGCAAGAATAATAAGTTCAGCTTTGAATACACTGAGGTTGAGCCTGACAGGAGGTATGTGTGAATATAGAAGTTTATGAGACAGTCTGCTGATTGAACACATAGATTTGGGCCGCTGGAATTGATATCACTCTGATAAATAGACGGGAAATTTACCAAGGATCAGTTCTGGAGACCAGCAACATCATCACACCATGGTGGCATATTTCAATTTATCCTTTCACCATACAAAGCTTATATTTTGGAATTCTCTTTGTAACTTGGGAAGCCCATGTGAAGATACTATAGAGTCAGGGGAATGCTTCTCAAATTTTAATGTGCCTACGTGTGAACTGAAAATCTTGAAAAAATGCAGATTCCAATTCAGTGTGTCTGAGGTGGGGCTGAAATTCTGTAATTTTAATGAGTTCCCAGATGACGCTGATACTGCTGGTCTGTGGACCACACTTCGAGTAGCAAGTTTATATACAGCATTATTAGTTTGTGATTTTTTAATTAAGTGACATTTACTATTGTCCATAACAGGCATTAGCTGACTAAGTCTGAAGAAACCATACAAATAAAAAGCCTCTTTAAAAATCTCCCATATCTTAATAACATCCAGGTTATACATCCTACCATAAGGATGAGCAAATAAATAAATTCTGAACAGTCTTGACCCTTGCTCCCTGTCTAAACCCCAAAAATAAAGAACATGAATTCTCCCAGACAGGCCAGGGTGTGTGTGTCCACATGCTTTAGGTGTGTTTGATCCAACAGCTGTCACTAAGTACATCTGATGCTCAGGGAACAGTAGGGTAAGTGGTTGAATAGTCAACAAGGCTAAAAGTCAAGAGTAGATACAGAAATTGATGTAGAGTGATTTCTGCCACTGGAGCTTAAGCTGGCTGTGTATTCCTCCTCTCTAATCAGAAGCAGCTTCCCTTCCAGCTGTACCGGATGTTCTGTTTATTCACTTTATACTTTAGTAGCAAGTGTCCTTAGTGAAAACTTCATTGCCCAGCATATCTTCAGGGATCTCCATTAGACTGGTAACAGATTATCACCATCTGTTGGTGATTATTTCCATCGTGTGACAGCCTGATCTAAGAGATGTGTCCTCTTTCACCAGCGGAACACCTTGAGAACTAGGTCAGTCTCAAGAGTTCTTGCAAGAATTGCAGCTGAGTGTAGATAATCAACATTAAAACAGCCTGAGGGCTTCTCCTTCTATTCTGCATGTATGTTCTTGCAAGTTGGGAACTATAAGGTGTGTGTCACATTTTTGGTTTTTGGGGATCTGAAATAGATTCAGGAACAAAAAAGAACCAATGCCATTATTTTAGGAAAGAATTAAAAACCACCTCGTTTATTGTGTCTCCACTTTAACAGTATCAGTCTTTTTAAAATGGTGTATTTATTGCTTCAGTAAACTTATAATTTTTGGAAATTCACAAAGCACAAATATAAACATGTAAATGTAAAATATGAATTCTTAAACCAGCAAAAGCTCACTTTTTTTTTACATTAATGGTAACATTTGGAATGTGATTACAGATTAAATGAGAAACATTTTATATAACACCTAAATTACTGCATGAGAACCATCCAGCCATTTTCATTCATTCAAACTATATTCTGTTTTAGGCATAGAGGATAATCTGGGCATGAAGAAAAGTGATGGAAATATCTGCCTTCACGTAGCTTATGTTTTAATTGTAGGAGGCAGACAAGCTATCAAATAAAATATGTAATATGTTGGTGATAAGTGCTGTGGAGGAAGATAAGTGATATGAGTTAGGAAGTGCTCATGGGGAAGTGTACTTGTTATTTTAAATAAGGTGAATTATATTTCTGGACAGTCACTCTTTACCCAAATTTTAGAGTTATTTAAGAAAAATCTCAAAGGTATCAATTGGTATACAGCAAAGATAATTTCAGATGTTGTTGGTAATATACTGCTTTTTGGTGCAAGAATGGAAAGGAATAGGATTTTTTCATTCTCTAGAACAACGTTAATGTGCACGGAGTTGTAAGCTCCATACATGTTGGGGAGATGTCCAAGGTACTGAGCTCCTGGCAATTTCCGGAAGAGGCAGCCTCTAGCTGCTCCTTGTCAGTTAAACAGTCACTCAGCTTCATTCTTTCTCTGGGGTGGAAGCTTCTAGAAATATCAGCTAAATACTTTTTTGCAAACTTTAAAAGAAAAATTATAAACTTAAAGAAAACTCTCTCTTATCAAGTAATTATTTTTTTCCATTAAACTTTGGTCACTTTTTCATTGAAAAATGTGGTAACATATTTTTCTCGAAAAGGATCTACTTTCTGAAATTAAACTCCAACTTAAAGTAGAAGGCACTCATTGTCAGGTAAATCTAGGTTCAAATTCCGACTATACTTAGCAGATGGGTGACTTCGGAAGATGACTTAGTGTAGCTGAGATTCTGTAAAACAAACGTTATGATTCATACTTCATAAGATGTGAAGATTTAATAAAAAAATGTGCATAAAGCACTTCCTGCTGCACCTGGATTATAATAATTGCTTTAAAAATGTGAATTATTTTTCTTTCTCTACTGTTGAGACAATACTCCATAGCTCTCTTGAATTTCTGCACAGCTTATCAGCACAGCCAACGGCAGCCATTTATTCTGGACTATCTTTTCAAGGATGTTGGTATAATGCAGTCTTGGAAGTTATAGTATCTCCTTCCAGAGCAAAGGGAAAGCATAATTACTCTCTAGTATAATAAAGATAGTATCTCCTTCTGGAGAAAAGGCTGGGTAGGCTTGCTTTTAGTCCATTATAAAATATTAGCATTTCCTAAGCTTGAAATTCCTCTTCTGTACCATGACCTACTGCACATACCCTTGATACATGCATCTAGCCCTTGTTGCATTGTCTTGTGGGAACTGAGCCTCAGGAAACTGGTGTAAAAGTGATGATGCTCTAGCTACTACTACTGTTGTGAATAATAAACTTTTCTTTGTCTCTGACCCAAGATTCTCATATCTTCTGCCATGAGTGTAGCTGCAGTAGGCTAATTGGTTAGCTTCCAAATAAGGTAAAACTCTTTATAGCTCCTTCACAGTTTTTGACACTTACACTTCTCTACTTCATAGGTTCTCTATGTCATATACAGCAAAATTCTATTTTCACAATTTAAACCACTTCCTTATTTGGTTTAAAGCTTAATTGTCATAATAGGAATCAGAGAATTTGAATGTTTTAGCTTTAAAATTTAAAAGTTAGACTTCAGTTTGAAAATGGTATATCTCTTGCAGGTTCTAATGCTGACTCTCCTAACTGCTCACTAAAATAATTATGAAGACACAGATAATGATGAAAATATTCATAATAAACACTAGAAGTAGTAATCAACCCTTTGCCAGAATCTGAAAATGTTCATTAACAACAAATTTATTGGAAGTAGATTGCACAGGGTAATGTGCATCTCATATGGGGCCCATAATTTCAGAAAACTGAGAATTTGACTTAGAGATTTTAGGAAGCCTGCCATTCTCTCAATGTCTGTCTACTGGGTGGAACTACAAAGATTATACCAACTAAGAGAGTAAAAGCATCCCTTTAATGTGTGGATACTGCTTTCTGGAGACAGCCAGAATGCTGCTTCCTCATCCTACCCCACTGTTCCACAGTTGTGCCTTTCTTCTTACATCCAGTGAGACTGCTGGACAGAGATTTGTGCAGGGGTCAGAGAGGCGGGTGAGCAATGAGGTAGAGGAGGCGCTGGTGGTAATGCTGTACGTGCCTGAAACATAGAACAGATCTAGGAACTATCCTTATAAGAGTTTATACTGGGGATTTCGTGTTATCAGTTACTGGTCTCTTTACAGTGTCAACAACCAGGCAGTAGGGGAAGGAGCAGATTTTGATCAGGGTGGAAGAGCCATAGTAGTTGAAAAGCTGGTAGACGCCAGCGATCCCACTAGGAGCTACGCACAGTAACCTGCAGAAAGGAGATAGAGTATTTCTCTGAACATTCAGAACAAATTCACATCTCTGAAAACATTTCTATATAAGAACCAGAGGAAGTGTTACAAAACTATTTAATATTCTGACTAAGATAATAGAAGAAATGGAGGAGAAAGCCATGCAAAAAATCACAGAGTGAAAATATAAGCTTTATGAAGGCAAGGATCATCGATTCATTACTGCTGCTTCCGTAATCTTGCTCAACAAATACCACTGAGTGATGAATAAGGTAAAAAGAAAGATGGATGAGAGAAAGAAATATTTCTAGAGAACTAAATATAAAAATACCAGAAATAAAGTCTGCAGGGAGAGACGACTAAAAACTGGAATAGTCATTGAAAGTAAAAACAAAAGCACAAAACAAAGACAAAGAGGCAAATCAACAAAATTGTCTAAAATATCTGTTCTCTTAGAACTCTTAAAACTACCCCTATAATAATCAACATATGATGCAGACCTTTTAATTCTAGGAGAAGATGAATCAAAGATAATGTGGTTAAAAAAATTTAAATGAAGCAAAGGAACATAGTTTGCGCATTGAGAAACAGTCCGTCTAGTAAGAGACAAATATATAAAGGAATACATATGAGACAATATCATTGCTATATGATAATTGCCAGCTTGACAAATTAGAGAAGTTGGTGTAGCACTGTCCGAGGGGGTGAGATTTGTAAACTGTCTTGAAGGATAAATAGGATTTCATGATGAGAAAGATATTCCAAAGAATGTAAAGCCGTTCCAAATAATTTCCAAGGATATAGGGTATTTAGGAAGTAGGAAGTAGTTTCATTTGGCCTGAGTAGAAGATATATGGAAGAAATTTGCAAAAAAGTAGTCTGGAAGAATGGAGAAATAGCCAAGTTTCTTCTTTATTCAATGTGAATATTTATGGATGTACGTATTTGTATATATTTGACTTTTTTGAGGATGTACCGGGAGTTAGCCATTTTGTTGGCAGAGAATGTAATGTGATACAACTTTCATTGTTGCCTTGAATCTGTATTCAAATATTCTGTTAACATTTTATTTCCTCAAATATTTTTAAGTAAGAAGACTTTTTACGCTTTTTGCAGAGTATAATGAAGAAACCATCCACTCTGGAGTTGGAGATTTCTGGCATCCCATTCATGTTTAGCAGACGTTGACTTTGATCGAGGCATTGTACTCATGTAAAGCATGCTGTGTGACACCTGTGATTATGACGGCTCTTAAAATCCTTTGATTTTTGAGAGGGGTAGACTTACTCTCTAACTTAAAAATTTTGATTAAACCTATGTAATTCAGCATTGGAACTGGCATGCAGAGTGGGTGCTAAGTAAGTGTCATTCCCACTAATTTCTGTGTATGTTCTACATTGTCAGCCACAGATCCCTGGAAGTATCTCTGGAAATGTCATTTAGGTAAAATCAGTGTCAATGTAAAAGAGGCCTTATATGATGGTTAAGAAGGCAGACACTGGAGCCAAATGCCTAGATGTGAATCTCGCCTCTGCCACTGTTGAGGCCATATGACCACGTGGCTTTCTCTCTCTATTTACCCTTTGGTATAAAGGAGATAAGAAATACTCACTTCATAAGATGGTCATATATGAAAAGAGTTACTACACGTAAAACACTTGAAAGAGTTCCTGGGACAGAGGAAGCACTTAACAAACGCTGGCTTATACAATCGTTGAAAAGCTGGGATGTGCTCTTGATGGGAGTTTCTCAGACGCATCTTCCGTTTAAGCTCCCTGTGATTTTTATCGAGTTTTGGAGACAAAAGGAGAGATAAAAAAGTTGATGTATATGATTATACATGTTATTTTACTGTGCTTAGGTCTAAATCCAAATTTCTACAGTCACAATAGAATACAGTCTCTCAGTCAGTGCTAGTTTGAAAGCCATCTTAATCATAATATGTCACACCTCAAATTGAAGAACGGTTGATACCTCAATTTCCTTATCTGAAAAATAGTCACAATAATGTCTACTTCTCCGTCTGATATTAATCTGATAGAGGAAATGTGATAATGCACTCAAAGTGATGACCTTATGTGTAACTTAACAAACGGTCTATTAGCCGTTGTTATTATTATTGATCATTTTCAAACTGTCTCCCAATTTATTTCCTTACAGATCTGTTTAACATTTTTGAGTAATTATGAAAATATGGCTGTTGAATCTAAGAGTCAAGACGGTGACTGATTCCCAGCTGTAATCTAGTATAATGCCAGGGAAATCAGGTGTGTTGGTTTTACCCTGTGGGAGGGCCTGGCTATAAAAATCTTTAATATATTAGTAACAGGAGGAAAATCTTTTTCAGAGTCTGTCTGCTCCTAATATTTGTTTCTTTTGAAACAAGAGAAGTGACAGATCCTAGATTCCGTTTGATATTGTCTGAGAGTTATTTAAAATAGTATGTTCATGTTTCTATTTCTCACATTCAACTTAATACTTTTACCATTTTTTTTTCTGTCATTGTGTTCAGTTGGACAAGAGATTAATCCTGAACTTGATGATAATTATAATTTCCAGGTGTAAAAGTTTTGCATCTTTTTTGTTCAAATTAGACTTGTGGCTATTTTCTTCTCACAGTCCCTGTTTTGGTCTACTTCTCTTCCCATGTTTATGTTGTTTACTCTGTATGGTAAATATTTTATACAATGGTATATAATTTTGAAATCCTTCGATTTAATTCATCTAAAATGTCTGACATAATTTGATTTTGATTATATAAGATTGACACAATGAAACATTTTATAACACATTTTTCCTTCAAAAATCCAGAATTATCACTTACAAAGTAGCACTATTAACGTCTGTGTAGGCATTATGTTTTTGAGTCAAGTTCTATATTTCCAAATTAGTTCTGCTAATAAAAGTAAAAAATTCTTTCAGAGTAAATTCATAACATAAAACAAGTGTTTATACTCTGACCAGACTGTCTACTTTCAATTCAAGAAAAGCACTGACAGTTCTCATTGGAAGTATTTATTTTCTGTTGTACAGTCTCTCAATGGTAGGACACAAAAAATATAGCTTGAAACCTTTACTCAGGCTTACTATTCATGTGCAAAATCTTGTTAAGAAAATATATTTCCCATCCCATTTTTGTAATTTAGCTTTATTTGAATAGTTTGAAGATAGTTTTAAAATAATCCTGTGTAGAATAAGAATAAATTTGGAAAAGTAGAATTTAAAATATGCCTTTCTCCTTTTGTAAATAATAAATAAGCAATAGTAGTGTTACCATGAAGAACCAAGAAAATATTCTGTTTGGAACACCTTATGGTAAAATGGGTGCCTGCAGGGAAGAAGGAGAGGTGCCTGCCCCCGGCGTGGAAGTTCCACTTGCACTTAGAGAAGGAATATGCTGTGAGCTGTCTGCCGGTAGGAGGGAGTAAGCTAGCTTGGAAAATCAAGACCTACTTACTTAGCATTTTGAATACCCAGTTCCTCCAAAGCAATTCAATACAATACAATAGTGGTCAACATTGCTTTTACAGGTGTTATTAAAACATAATCTCAAACTCAAGGAAATTTTTATGTAAATGATTTTTTTAAACCTCCAAAAATCTAAAATTCAACTCGATTTATTTTTATTAGATGGGATCCTGGCTGGTTTCCACTTCCTGAGGCTTTTTATTCTGAGTTTATTTTTAAGACTAATTATCCTCACCTACATAAACTTCCTGGATTCCAGAATACGTAATTGGCTGGTCAAGTGTCTCTGCTATCCAGATGAGAGTTACCTATCACGCATCCTCAAAGGGACCCAAAATTTGGACCAGATGCCACCCATTCAGATGTGCCAAGAGGAACAGAAGCGTTAAATTGTGGCAGTATTGGCCAACATGTGTAGCTCATTGTTGCAAACAAGTGCTCAGCCAATGGAGTGGCATATTGTCATTGTGACCCATAACTGTTGGAAGAGTTCCAGAAATGACATTATGCATTAATACAGAGCAGGTGGCAGGTAGGTACCCAAGGTAGGTTAAATGAAAGAGTAACTTTCTCTGAAAGTTGAATAAGCTATGGATTGACATAATTTGGATATATAGGCAAATTCTTGGCAAAAAAAAAGAGTACTCATATTTAGGTTCTCATCATTCAGAAGGTGATCTGGAACTTATACAAAGAAACTGGACTTAAAGTGCTGTAAGAAATTAAGTGTCATATAAGATTTGCCCTTTTTAATCACAAATTCAGAGTTTGAGGGTAATTTTTATCTTTTTCTACATAAAGGGAAATAATAGTAGTTTTGTACCTCAAAGGGAAGAGCAAAATCTTTAATATTTGCCTTTTAAAAAGTAAAATGACAGGGGAACATTAGGAGACACACATGGGCAGGAGATGCTCCTACACCCCCAATCTGAATCATCTGAATAAAGCTATATCTCACATCCCTTTAGATTTCACAGGCTCAAGGAAATGTGAAATATTTGACATTTTCACCTTAGTATTTTCACACATTGAAGAGACACCTTTCAAGAGTAAGTAACAAATTTTCTTTTCCTGTTGAAAACTAGTTTTGCAACTCAAAGGGCAAATAAGGAAAAATGCTGCCTTATAATTTTCTGAAATGCTGCAACTCGCATGCAGTAAACCTCAGTTCCACCGACTGTATGTGCACATGGCCCCAAACCAGGATCTTAGTGTTGAGTTGCAGAGAATTTAGAAATTACCCCCTTTAACCAGTCTACAGTGTATATGAAAATCAGAAAAGTGTAAAAATTTTGCCTTGACAGAGTTAAATTCTTTCAGTCTCAGTTACACATTTAGTTGGCACTTGAGTTTTAATTGGCTAAAATTAGGCCCCTTATTTTCAATGAAACTATGCCAAGTTTTAATTGTACAGCAGAGACTTCATTCACTCTGGTTGTGACCTCTCAGAGATGAAAACCCAGGTGACTTTTGCATACATGAGCGTTATTTTTTGAAAATAAATTAAGAGACAAGACAAGGCTGAGATCTGTGGCCTATCAGATGTTGAAGATAGAAAACATACAGCATTTCTAAGCATGAATGAGGTCCTGTGGGAGCCTAGAGACCACTTAGGGAACAGAGAAAAGGGCTAGAAGGGTGTAGAAGGCCTTCAGCACAGGAGAGAGGACATGTATTTAAATGGTAGTCAACAGGGAATGATTATAGGGATTTAGGAAAGGGTACGGCATAGTCAGTGTGGTGTCACCAGGGAGAGCGTTTTGGCAGCAGTATGTAGAATGGAATGCAAAGGAGAGAAACAAGGAGTGGGAGTTGTGGTGTGTTTAGGGCTGGAGCACCAGGCACTGGTTTCTGTAGACCTTGGTTTGAAATCAAAACCCAGTGAGCATGAGTTCCAACCTCCTGTTTCTTACAGGACTGGAGCATCAATCCTGTCCCATTGAGGTATGAGCAGGAGCTTTGTGCTCCAGCTCCACAGGGCCCTTCCTCTCAGTTTCTGAGGTTCCAGCAGCAACCAGGTAGGATCCTCACCTCAGAAGTCTGAGTGCTAACTCTACGGGGCTCTCCTTCAAGTTCTTTGGATCTGATAAGTGGAGCTCTCCCTACTATTATCATTTCTGGGTTACCTCAGTGTCCTCTTTTTCAGGCCTTCACAGCATGTGTAAGCTGATTTCTGTCCTAAATCCCTCTATTGCAATACCTAGTGTGTTTCCATTTTCCTGGTTGGATCCTGACTGATAGAACGAGGGTGAGTAGGTGTATAATCTGTGTAGACAACGGGGCAGGAGCATCAAAGCGTAAAAGTGTGGGCACGGTCAGGGAAGAAAAGTAGTTGGATGTGATTAGAGCACATAGCTGAACACGTGATGTCCTGAAAATTAAGCTGGGGAAAATTAGGGTGGATTTCAGTGGCATATTAAGTGTCTCGTTATGTACAGGTGAAACTGACATCTATAACTTGAATCATTCATTCCAGTAATTTCCTCAGGAACCTACTGATCTAGTCTAATTCTTAAAATGTGATAGTCTTTAAAAATATTTGGAGACTCTTAAACTTCCTCATCAAGTTAAGTGGCCCACAGCGGCATCCAGGGGGACGTCTAGGAGGCAAATGGATATATGGTTCAGAGCCTCAGGAGAACAATCTGGACTAGAGATATGTGTTTTGGAATCATCAGTATACAGATGACAGTTGAATTTATTGGGGTCATTGAGGTCACCCAGGAAGAGAAGAGAGAGAGAGAGAACCAAAGCTTATGGCAAAACATGAGAAGAAGCAACAGTTTCCATGATTTTTCAACAGAGACCCTGTGCTTTAAACAAATCAATCTGATTTCTGTCTCTCACATATTACTTACTAATTCCTGTCTACAACCCTGGAATGAGTTATCTGCTATTTTTCAGGAATACTGCTCAGAAGACAACACAGGATAATAGAATAAGCTTGGGCTTCAGGTCCTAAAGTCTTGGGTTTGACGTAAAGTCATAGCTGTGCTCCTTAAGGGTTAGGATCTCTTTGATCTCTAGGATTCTCTGTTTTCTCTCTGTGATATTAACAACGGTAATAGTTTCCTCTCAGGGTTGTTGCATGCATTAAGAGTCAAACAGCAAGCATTTTTTGATCAGCTCTAAGTGCCAGTCACTGCTCAGTTGTCACTGTGGTACAGGAGGAAGAAGAGCTCACTGTTGAATGGGGGAAACAGACACGTTGTGAGGTGACGACAACGCAGTGTGTAAAGTGAGGCAGTGGAGAGGGTCTATGATGTGGGGCAGGGGATGATTCAGGAGACGAGGCTTTAGCTGTTTAAGCTGAATCTTGAGGAAAACATGGGAGTCAATTGAATGGAAATACAATAGTATACTATTCGAGTTTAATGTCAGGTGTTTAGTAAGGGTGCTTATTTCCTCCTTTTCACTACCTCCTTCTACTCCTGGCTCAACTTTCTGCTAAGTGAAGACCATCTCCTGAGCGTACAGGCCTCCTGTGTGCTTCTGTTTAGTCTTGTATCCTAACTCACTTGAACACGCACAGTTGTTGTGTTCTTATCAGTTTGCTCTTGTGGATAAAATTGATAATTGCCCTTATATTTTAGTAGATGTCCCTATTTTGTCCTTTTAAATAGAAAGAAAACTTCCCTGGGAACATTATTTTTAACCTTCTTTTGATGTCTGTTATAGTGTTCAATATACAGTAAACATTTGATAAATTCTTTTCAACTACTTCTATCATATTTAACATAGTCCAACATATTTCTATAATATAATAGGCTCCATACATCAATGAAAGAGATATTTACAAAATGATTCTTAGCACATATCCGTTTTGCTCTTACATAAATCATAGAAGAAGATCATAGCTGGGTGCTGGCAACATGAAGATCTTTGATGACGTGACAAGAGCAGCCTCCGCAGTGTGATAGGAAATGAAACCTGAGCGCAGCGAGGGGGGCAGAGATGTTGAAATGAGAAAGTCATGACAACCTCCACAGATACCTCTTTCCAGAGGCTTTGCTGTGAAGGTAGGAGAGGAATATGGTGGCACTTAAGGGGAAATAGAGGGGATGGGAGGGGGCTGTTTTTCTGTTTGTTTGTTTTTAAGTAATAGGAAGACCACAGAACATGTTTGCATATTCATGGCAATGTCTCAGTAGAAAGGGGAAAATCCACGACAGGGGAGAAAGCCCTAAGACATTTGGCAAACATCTTTTCCCTCTTCTGTAAAATGCAGGGTCTAAAATTGAACACCCCTAAACTATTTTTAGCTTAAAAATTCTGAAGTTCTGTGATTCTTTATTGTTTTGGTTTTGGGGGGTCATCAGTTGTTGTTATCCCACAACTGATATGACTGTATTACTATTGTAACGTTAAAAATGAAATATATTTGTATTCTTAACAGAATATGAAGTAAACATAATAGAATGTTGCTCTGATTTTATGTTGGTGGATGTGGTCTGTCTCAAAGCATTAAGAACAAGACTGTTCTGCTCACGGAAACCTCCTGGACATATAAACCAGGAGAGAACCTTCAGAATAGAGGACTCAAGGCACTTGAATCCAAAGGGAAAATATTTTCAGTGATAACTCACACAGGGTTCTTTTCACAGCACCGTGAATGAGAGCTGTGTGCCCGGCTCATGTCTATAGGGATCAATGGATGGCCTTCATCTTGTCACTCACACAATGAAGTGGGTAGTGTTCCTCGCTTTTCAGGAAAGTGTTACATAATCTGTGAAAAGGGGCCAAGTACCCTGACTTTAGGTAAGACAAGGCACGCATGTTTTTTCAGCCATGAAGGGCAGGCTGGCTGTGGCATCTCCCACTTCGTTGACAGCCAGAGTTTTCTCTGCAGATTTTTCTGTCTGGGTGACTCCAGCTCTTTTACCACTTTATGTAGCAAAAGACTGACAACTTGATATATGCGTCTTAGAAACGAAACAGGATCTGCTTGATCCCTGAAGAGAAGGAGAAAAGTTTTGTTTGTCTGATCCCTTTGGCCTCCCTCTGTTCTGTTTTGGAAACTCTGATTGTTGCAAGCTGTCCTCCAAACCATACTCACCTTCGCCCCCAAATTATGCTTCATAAAAGGGACTGGTGCAAAGCAACATCCTTGAAAATGTCCTCTTGTGATCGGTGGTTTCAATTTGGAATCTGGTGCTGGTTTGTGGAAGAGATGAGAAGGAACTTTTTCCTGTCCCGGGGATTTTGTATGTTTTTCTGTCTCATAGATTTTTTCCCCTTAAAATGTGGTTGTGAAAAGCAGATGTTCAGTAAAGCTGAAAGTCTTGGAAATATTCATCACTGCATGGTAACTTAATACCTCAGGGTAGACACTGTCTGTAGTAGCAAGATAGATCTTTTTTTTTATGCCTACCATGGAATTGTAACCACTGGACTGAGGCAAAAATGTGCCCTCTAATGTTAGCCTGCGTTCAAATCTGTTTATTGTCTAAAGAAGTCGTGCAATGACAATTAAGGGTTAAAATAATCTTTCATAAATCAACTGCATATTTATTTTACTGACTAGAGAGAGTCAGGTAAAAACATCAAAAATTAAATTTCTGCCCAACATATCACCAAATGAATCCCAAGGTCCCCTTAAAAACTTACTGACATCCCAACTTTGCCTCTAACAGCAGTGTCCAACGTCTGGCGTTTGACAACACATAGAGAAAAGTCATTGTAACTGCTATTTTGGTGTAGCATCACGGAGAACTAGAAATGCCCAGGCCATCAATCATAGCCCATTGTTGGAAGGCGACCTTGAGCCTCATTTAAAGTGTTGCACACATTGAAGTTTCTCACCTACAGGCAACATTCAAAACACGGAGTGTTTGTTCAAATTACTGTTCTGCTGATAATAATATGCTGAAATCACCTTTATTTTCTGACATTTGTCTGTGTAAGGCATGTGATTCATTACATTGGTTTTATATTGAAGAAATAAATTTGAAACAAACATTTTGTTACAGCAGAAGCTGATATTCATAACCGGTTTCTTGAATACCAGGTAACTAATCAGTCATGGATATATTAATAAGTTATTCATGCTTTTCTCATTTTCACTACGAAGTAAATAAAAAGAGGCCCTTTGGTTAGGCTGTCATGTGAGATTATAATGATACAGTGCCGATAATAATTTCTCCTGGGGAAATATATTAGCTGTCTTTACATTCACCAAAGTAATAAATAAGCAACTTCCAGCTTATATACAATCTTTCCTCAGTTTGTTACTTTCTGAAAATTGCTTTGAAAGTTAATTAGAACTGTAGAAAATATAGGCAGCCTGCCAATCTCTCTAAGAACAGTACGCGACTGGGGAATACTTGATCAAAAAAGCACAAGGTTTATTTCACTGACTAGATTTGGCAGTGTATGCCGGTGGCTGCAACCCAGTCTTTTCTGAGTAACCCAGCCTCCTCTCCTCCCTTGCCTCCCCCTCAATTTAATCTTAAATTTGTACATCGAGCTTTGTGGTTGTACACTCGTGAATGTATATTTGCGAGCTATTTCTGGTCTCTAAGTTTAGCAGTATTATGTTGACTATTTGCATAATGTCTAATAACCAAGACAGGGGCCCCTCCCAGACTGTGTTGAGTCCATGATCCATGACCTGCTTTTACCTATCAGACAGAGTTACTGTTCTGGAGAGAGTGTCCCTTTTAGTCATAATCATCCCATACTAAATCTTCGACGTACAGTTTCAGGCTAAACTGGCGATAATCCTTTGGATGCTTACAGGTGCCACAGAAAAATGAGGGGCATGTGTATTCCATACTGTAGGCTGATGAGTGCTTGAGGTGTGGGCAGCAGGGAAGGGGAGGGGCTGTCACCAATGGAAGGAGAGACAAAAAGAGTCACAGAGGCAAAAAGTGAGTGAATTGTATGGGTCTGTTGTCACAGAATAATCAATCCCAACCTTTTTCTAGATGTCAGTCTTTTGAGAATCTGATTAAAGCTGTGATTAATTCTTTAGATAAAAGCAAATATGCACATATACACATTTTTTTGCAGAAAATTTCTAGCAGTTGGTAGGTCTCCAGAATTTTCAGATGAAGAACTCCCACTGGGCCCAATGGGTCAGGGCTTTCAGAGCAGAAAAAAGATGGAGGTCGTTATCTTAAGGTAGTGCTAATCTGTAAGAGAAAAAGAAAGATAAGATAGTGATGAGGAGAAGAAGCAAAAGGGCTTGTGTAAATGCAAAAACAATGGGAGCGAAGCAATAATGGCAAGATTTAATGCGAAATAGAACTGCAGAGAAATTACCCGGAAGATTTGTTATCTTATGAGGAATCAAACTGTTGGAAAAATTTTCAGGAGAACTGAAACATTTTCAGAACTTGCCCTAAAGGAGATAGAATTTCGACAGATTTTGGGGGCTCTTGGCAGACACTTCGAAGGCTCCCCATGATATTGCAGTTGCTGATCACATCAGAATCAGCAGGCCTGTGGTCACTCTTGATAAGATAGAGTTTGTTAAGGAAAGAGAAATGTCATGTCACCTTGGCTATGGGATCTACTGGGTGAGAGGGGGGACTGGCATTAGGCTACAAAGGAAGTGTGTTTGAGCCACAGATGTACAGGAACAGTTTCAAGTGTCCTTCAGCTATTCAGTGAAAAGGGACACGAGATTGGTGGAGGGTGGGGTCCTCAACTGAACTGAGGGCAGAACGTGGTTTGGAGGGAGTATATGTATAACCTGATGCTGATTTTGTGACACAAGAATCAAGAGGCTCATGTCCTAGCTCTGGAAAAGCTCAGAAAAAGGGCCGCAGGAGGCCCAATCTCTGAGATTTCTTCCAACTCCAGAAGTCTATGGTTACTGCAGAGAATGGAAATCAATGGGAAGAAGAGCCACAACACATCAACATTGCTTTACTTATCTTCAAAAAAGATCTCTCTCTGTCTACTCTGAGGCTTTAGGTGTGTTGCTGAATAATTTTAAGTAGATTAATATCATCGATTTCATGAAATAGAAGAATGACAATTCTCCCAGGGACATCTTGACAGTTGTGTGTTTCTACAGCAGTTGGAAATCAGCAATGTTAGTTAACTTTTAAAAAGCGAATACTGCATTTATTTACTCTATTTGCTGTGTGGAAACTTACCCCTGCCAGCATCAGCCACAGAACATTCTATAAGAAGCACTTGTGGTTTCCAGATGAGGGCAAGTGGATAGTGTTTTCCGTGGCTGCTTCAGGGAGCATCTGAGATATTTTAGCACATTTTTGCATCTTGGCACAGTGAACCTGGTATAATTCTCTGTGCCTGGCTGTCTGTCTCCTACCCCAATTATTACCTTCTTATTTTGGCAGACTGAAACAACTGGGAACTTATGTGGGATGAAGAGCTGCCTCCGGTGGTCTCGGCAGTGTCTCAAGTCTCCCGTCGGGTAGATTCTTGCAGAATGAGGCTGGAAGTGCCACTCAGAGGATCTGATTCTAACCTCTGCATAAGCAAAAACCCAGGCCTTGTGTTCCTCAATTGGGGCCTGGGCTCTCATATGCCACTTATTTTTTCTTAAGTGGAGCAAAGATTGTGTCAATAAAAGCAAAGAATACTTGTTTCATATATATTTAAAGCTGACGAGTACTTTGTATATCACATTAAGTAGGAAATTGCTCCAGCCACACTTTGGTATATGCGAATTTGTCAATCCATGCTTCTTGTTGAAAATTTCCTAAGTCATTGTCCTAAAACATTTTAAGTAGGAAAGGATTATTTGTCATGATTGCTGAAAAACTATCTTTGAGGGAGCACAGCGTCAGAGGTCCTTTAATTCACTTGGTGGTTAAAATGTGGGCAAGCACTGAAAGTAATATGAATTCAGACTAAAACAAGAGATGTGAGTCCATTCTACTCTCTACTAGACAGATGCCATTTAGAGCAGTGCCCAACCTGGGTTTTCTGGACCTCTGAGGAGTTGAAGGCACAGACTTATTTAACAATATCTATTACTCAGTATGCATAATGATTACTGCTATAGTCTGATGAAATAAAAGTATCAGTTCTCTAATGTCGAAGGTCTATACAATTATTTTTTTAAAGGAAATCCTTATATTCCTAAACTGTTAGTTCCAGTTGCCATATTTAAATGGTGTTAATATACAGACAAACGTAAAGACATTTGGAAGACGATGAACAGGGCCAACCTAGTTTAATATAGTAGGAAGATCACTGGTTTGCGTTAGAATACTTATATTTCTGGTCTCAGCTTTATCACCCATTGTGTGTGTGATCTTGATGAATTGACTTTGTTTCTGTAAAACAGATAGCACCTGAAAATGGCTCGCCTAATGTGGTAGGCAAAATTGTAGTATGCTCCTCACAATTCCCCCTCCCTGTATCATGCCCTCCTTTTGAGTCTGGGGGGCACCTGTGAATATGAGGGAATATTACTCCTATAATTATTGATATTATGTGTTATTTAGAGAAGATGAAGGGATTGTAATGATGTAATAATGATTAACCTTGGGGAAAGGGGTAGCAATTGGAAGAAAGCGTTGTGCAGCTCCTGGGTGCAGACAACACTCTCTTTCTTGATCTGGACACTGGTTATTTGGGTGTGCAGTTAATGTGAATTCTCAGAGCTATAATGTGTGTACTTCCTGGATGTTTATTGTGTTTCAGTAAAACATCAATGCATTTATATGTACTTTAAAAAGGGTATTTTTCTTTTAAATTATTAAAAATATCTAAATGATAAAAAACACAGAATTATTTGAACAAAGCCGACATTAATTTGTTTTAAAAACTCATTTAAATTTTATTAAGTATTTGATTAAAGTAACACTATTCACAATTCTAGCATTCAATGTTAACCTAGTTGCCAGTGAAAGAACTGATTTCATGCTTCATGTATTTACATCTAGTTGCACACATATTTAAATTTAAGAGTGATATGACTTGTGGAGTACTGCAAAGTGTTCTTCACCCACTGTCTGCAACTGATGTGGGTATTATGCTAATTCATGAGTAGTTCAGAACCACAAATTGAAACACAAAAAGAAGTAAGAACATAGATGCTTGACGCTGGTAGGAACTGATACTTCATTATTCAAGAATCATACTATCTAGGAAGAAGAATGTTTTAATTAATTAGCCTTTCTCTTACCTAAGCATTGCTGTCACCCAAATCCTCTTCACCCTAACAAAGGCACTACCTATTTCTGATATTGGGAAATGCACAACCACAGAGCTTCATGGCGTTCAGATGCAGCCACCTTTTGTTACAAGGACGTATGGACTAAGATGTGAGAAATATTACACTGGAGCCTGAATAGTTTCAGAAACAGGAGAGGATGTTGTTCAGGCCACATCCTGCCAGCACTGGGAGCAGGAGCCCATGTTCAGAGGTGCCCATATGTTCTTTAGTAAATGTATTTGTTCCTTTATTTTTTCATTTATTTTTTGCTGAAGAAGATTAGCCCTGAGCTGACATCTGTTGCCAATCTTCCATTTTTTTTTGCTTGAGGAAGCTTAGCCCTGAGGTAACATCCATGCCACTGCTTCCTCTACTTTATGTGTGGGTTGCTGCCACAGCATGACTGACAAGTGGTGTAGGTCTGCACCCAGGATCCGAAGCCCTGAACACTGGCCACCAAAGCAGAGCGGGCTGAACCCAATCACTACACCACGAGGCCGGCCCCTGTTCCTTTATTTTGTTTATGATATGTGGGTCCTCTAAACTATAGAGCCCAAAGCAGAAGCCTCTTTTGCCTGTGTCTAAGGGTAGGACTGACGGGCAACACTAAGGGTTTTTGAAAAATTTAGCATTTAGCAGAGGAGAGATTCATAATGTCATTCAATACCACAGTAAAGGAAAGAAATGTGATTTACTATATGAAATAATATAGATTTTCTATCTAAGTTCTGGAAAATTATCTATCAGCACCATCATATTTGTGCTTTGTATTGAACAGCAAAGTCTTATTTGTTTTCTTCCCTTGCCTAAAGTACCCATTGCATTTTTTGTGTGTGTGAGGAAGATTGTCCCTGAGCTAACATCCATGCCAATCTTCCTCTTTTTGCCTGAGGAAGATTGTTGCTGAGCTAACATCTGTGTCAATCTTCCTCTATTTTGTATGTGGGACGCCTCCACAGCATGGCTTGATGAGTGGTGTGTAGATCTGCACCTGGGATCTGAACCTGCGAACCCTGGGCCACTGAAGCAGAATGTGAGAACTTAACCACTATCCAACCAGGCCAGCCCCATGGACCCACTGCATTTTATCATATATCTTAAAGTTGATATTTTCCTTAGTGAAAATTCCTGCTTATTAATACTCATTAAAATAAAATAATTTTGTCTTTCTATATTTTCCTCTCTTTCATCATTCACATTGTAGCTATATTTTTCCTGATATGAATTTCTTAGGAAAAAGCTTCCTAATATCAAACATTTCTCCTGCTTCCTAACGTTGAATGTTGCTCTGTTACGCTCACAGAAAGGTGCCTCCTTTTTAAGGCAGTTCAGCTTTTTTTCATTCTTTAGTATGGTTAGCAAATACGATATTATGATTAAGATTGTTCTAATTTGTAAATGAAAAAGATTCCATGATGCTATTAATTACTGAACTATAATTATAATATTAAATTCAGTTGGAAAGTTATATAATTGGGAACTGTGATTCAGGAGGTGCTCTGAAGCTGTGGCTCTGATGTTGCTACTGCAGTCTGATTACAATCGAACGGCTCTCAGTAGATGGTGGATGTGCCTTGAGTATTATATAATGAGAACACAATTGTGAATCTCATAAATTTGACAACAATTTGTGAGATGATGATAGTGATTTCAACATAAATGAATCTAGTGTTCTGTTGTAATTGTTTCTGTTAGAGGGCAAAGCACTGAGAAACAAAAGTTATTTCTTATCATTGGAGGATTTCATGGTAAAGTAGAATTGTCGTATGTCCATTCCTTTAGCAGTGGATATTGCTTCTTTTAGAGGGAATAGAGGCATCACATCAGTGTCTAGAAATCGTATCTATGCAAGAATGAAATGAGCCTCCTAATTATTTCTCTCGGGTTAATCTCTTATGACGTGGAATCTCTTAACATAAGCTATAAACTTCAAAATTGGTGGTAAGTTAAAATTTTACTTTTTGTTTTAGAATATCTTTGAAAATGTAATTGTGGTTTTTCTTCACACACATTAAAACAAACATATAAAACAATTCAATGAATTCCTTCCATTTTAAATCATTTTGGAATTTTGCTTTTTACATGAAGCCTCAAAATTTTTTAAGCCTAAAATTATTCTTCCTTTGTTAAAGAATCAGAAAGAAGATCTTTGGAGTGCCAACCTTGAAACGAGTCAAAGATGGGGCATTTTTGTATTTCTTCAAATATTTATTCAATAGATATTTTTAAAATATTTGTTGACAAATAAAAAAATCCCTTGGCTGTGATTTGTTAGGTGGTACAAAAATATGAAACAGTATTGAATGACTCCTGCTCTCGGTTGTGAGGATGTAGCAGAAGCCAGCTTACTTTCCCGCCTGAAATCAACTAGAAAAGTTGACTATATGAACAAACGTTTTTTAGACTTTGGATAGCAGGCAGCTCAGACAGTCAGCACCAACAGAAGAGAAAGAAATGATACAAGCCCTATAATTGCCCCCAGCTTTCTGCCTGGAGAGAGTTTCTAGGCCGTATTGAAGAGGCGGGTGGGTGGGGGAAACCAAAACAGCCCAGCTGTGTCACTGCTTTGAGGAAACAGAGTTGGATTTGGGGAGGTTGAGTCAGACTAGCAGGACCAAATGTCAGGAGGAAGGAAGCTGCATAGAGAGAGCTCAGGGGAAGCGGGGGCAGGGGGGGCAGGGGTGCTCCCAAGTCTTGGGCCCAGTACTGCCATGCAAAAATGGAGGAGGAAATGCCTGAGACTTAGAAAGAAGCCTTGTCTAGAAGATGAGGTCTGGGCTGGGATGTCGGAGCTGTGCAGGTTGAGGAGGGCACGTGCAGGGCAGTTGGAGGTGGAGACTAGAGTGTGCAAAGTGCTGGCATATTCGGACAGAGCAGGTTGGGTGTCAGAGCCCAAGCAGAATGAGGGGGAAGTCCACACAGAAGAGTGGCCCGAGCTGTAGGAGGAGATTATCCCCACAGGGTGGGGGCCCACATGGGCTACAGAGCATGAGCCATTCGAGAAGGGAATACATGCACAGGGCGGTCAGTACAGGGTGTCAAACTCCGACAAAGGTGATGAGTGCTGCCAAGTCTGTGCCCAGGATCCGAACCGGCGAAACCCTGGGTCGCGGAAGCGGAGCCCGCCAACTTAACCACTCAGCCACAGGGCCGGCCCCATGGTGACTATTTTTTAAGAAAAGTAATCTATTACAGTACTGGAGGAAAAGAGAGATAATAGAGTCCCACTTGAATGAATCGCACCACCACAGCCATTTTTATCGCAAGGCTATTTCTGTATCCAAAATGCCTATAATGGCACTATTTTGCCGACGTGGGAATTACACTTTCTGTTTGGAAGAGAAATTACATATAAACAGATACATTTTTATCCCAATACATTTTGAAGCAATTTCGTAGAAATGGAGACCTTCAGCATCCTTGATTCGTACACGATAATAATGAAGATAGGAGACCATCAGTTTACGTAACTGGGACTTCGTAGTTTGCTATTTTGCCTTGAAAAGATTGTCTCAGGCCAAAGACTCTTCCTGAGCATCATGAGCCTGTATCTTGATGGCCAATTTCTCCTGAGCTGCTCAGGGAACCAAATTCAGACAACTCTGATTTCTAACAGAAAAATAGTTTGTTAATTTACAGTGTGAAAGATGACTAATTATCAAACATGGGGTTTAAATTACTATATTCTCTTCCTTTTCTTTGAGACATTGAATAAAATCAGAAGATGATTCAATTAATACAGAGTCAGAATAAGGAGTGTAGGGTGAGTGTTAGGAAAGAGTCCGCAAGTTGTGAACCCTCCAGGGAGCCGTCCTTCTCAGTCATGGGGAAGTGTTTGCCAAAGGCACTGCAAACCGCAGATGTCTGCTGAGAACGCGAGAGCCAGAAAGGCCCTATATAAATTGGTAAATTCCTACACTTTTAACCTCTCTTTTGCTAGAAAGTCAGGATAACATAACAAAGCATTTTTCTAACATTTTATTATGGCAATTTTCAAACATACAGCAAAATTAAAGGAATTTAATTGTAAACACCAGAATACTCGCCACTGAGGCTAGATTATTAATATTTTGCTATGCTTTGTTTGGTCACATATCCATCCCTCTATCTATTCGGACAAAAAAAAAATACTGTGGGACACTATTATATAAATTTCAGAAGTACAGGCTAAGGTAATCTCTGATATCAGAAGTCAGGACACTAGATACGCGAGGTGGGGAAGAGTAACTGGAAGGGGCCAGGAGGGAACTTTTGGGGGGTGATTGTATTTTGTTTCCTGATATTGGTGATGCTTTCACAGGGTGTTCAATTTGTGAAAATTCATTGTGCGCATGTGTGTGATTTGTGCCGTTTTCTGAATGTTTGTTATAATTCAATAAAAAGTCAATACAAAACAAAACTATTGTAAAGAGATTAAATTCATATAATAAAATACAGAGATTATCAGAGTAGATAGAGACCAAACAGAAAAAAATCCAATATATTTTCCTTGTAAGAGAGATGTTCAAAACAACCTCAAACTGAGAACTGGAAATAAGAGAGTGAAAAGAGATAAACCAAATACTGATCAAAAGAAAACTAGTA